GTCGCTCCCTCCACCTAGGTCCCTTTAGGTATTCCCTTCTATGCTTTCTCAGCGCGGCTAGCCTTTTTAATAGTGTCCTCCTTATCTAAGGAGTCGCGAAGAGTCTGATAGTACTACTGCCTCTTATCATACAGGCGACATACTTCGCTAATACCTTCCGCGAATGTTTCCAATCGGCGCTTGAGTTCTGATACTTTCATTAGAGTGTCGGCCTTTTATTCTCTAATACCGGCTATTTCTTCCATCATATGCAGTCCTATAAGCTTCGTACTGTATTCTCTAGCCCTATGTCCGGATTTTCCACAATTATAGCATAGGTTTTCTTTCTTTCGTTGCTCTCGCTCTTTATTAGATAGCCCCTTACGCTAAAAGCGGCCCTTTAGCTGTGAGGACCGACCTCATTCCATAACATTAAGGTTCATCAAGTCACCATAAAACTAGTAGCTTAGGCGGCTACTTTTATAGTATATACCGCTAGTCTTTCCGCGGTAACCTTTACATTCTAAGTTTAGTTCGTAAAGCTAATTATCAATTTTAATAGCTCAGTTAATCAGTCCTTTATAGTCCGTAGGTCTATCTAGTCCCATTTCTTTTTTCACGGCGTCTTTTAATCCAGTGTAGAAGGCTGCAGCAAACGCGTTATCTTCCCAGTCTAACTTAGCCTAGAGTCACTTAAATAGCACATAGTATTAAGCTGCCGAGCCTGTCTATTTGAGCTAATGAATCCGCTGAGACACGGCTTATTCTTCTCCAGGGGTCCTAAAGATCTGTTTAATGCGATTCACGAAAACAGTGAAGTTCTTAAAGATTATAATAGTCTCTAGGTTCTTTTGTGCCTAAGGTGAGATCAAGTGGTCCATCATAATGGGTTCAAACTAATGGAAGGCTGAGCCCTTTATATGAAGTCCTGCGAATAAGACCCTATTCTCCTAAGTAGCATACTTAGTTTAATTTAACCTAAAGGTCGCGATAAGCTAAGTAATAAATAACCCAAGCTTAGCACGGTCCCCGTAGAACGAATTAACCTTATTATTATCTTTGTTGTTGTTGTAGCCCCCTTAAGTAGTGGTGCTATAGAATAATGGGCCTAGGGTTAGGGCGCTAGAGCGGACCGACCTAGTTAGAGATAGTGAACAAACTAATTTAGGGTTTAAGGCGGACATTATGTTAAATACTTCCGATTAAGAGGTAGTCAAAGTGTTACGTTTCGCTCTACACAGGGTGTCACAAGACGTATAGTCTTAATAGGCGGGAAGTATAAGAGGCGAGGTCACTAAGAGCGCAGTACTTAAGCGAGTACAAGAGCGAAGTGATCACAACCAAAACGTATGGGTATAATCGTGAACGAAGTTAACTACATGATAAAGCTATATAATGACTGTGTATATATAACCGTTCAACCTCTTTAGGCTCTCTCCGGCTCTAAGGGCTCTGTAGTGAGAGCTAGGAGAGCTAATAGAGCCCATAGCTCCCTGGGCTCTATGGCCTCATTCCTTAGAGTTCTGAGAGCCACTCCTACCACGTGACCACGCCCTTAGGCTTTCACGTGTTTCGGACGTATTAACGCCGACCGGCTGTCGTCATAGCTTTGTCTGCGACCTCATAAGAGGCCTAATTCGTAACATTTATTACTTTATATAGTTCATTAAACTATATAGTACTCTATTAAAGACTTAATTATAACAAAAAATTATTAAGTTTAGTAAGTCTATTAGTAACATTTAAGAGAAACTCGCTTAATATTACTCTCTAGATAGCTATGCGTGATAGCTAGCTAAGTAACGCACTAGTCTCTCATTAGTATTAGCTATGGCTGGGGCCTATCTTTATTATAGTACCTTTACTTTTAAATAGTACTTAAAGGAGTATAAAGAGTATTAGGGCATTAACTCATAGCGATAACTCTTACTCTAGAAATATTAAGATTGCACACTCTACACCACATGAGATCTCTTATATTCTTATCTCTAGGGTAAAGATATAAACACAGTGAGGCTATTAGGCCTACTAGCCTACTTTAGCCACTAATAGCTCTAGTACAAGTTATTCTAGGCGAGTCTATTAGAGGACTCCCCTTAGTGACTATATAAACTAATCTCTAGTAATGCTAAGTTTGAAGCCATAATAAGATAACTAATAAACTATTACTTCTTAGAAGTGTAAATAGTGGTGATATTGTGAAGTATATATACGTGCGTATAACTAATTAACTTAGTAAAGCTATTTTCATTACTAAGCTATTAAGGTAATAGGTTTAACTTATAGTAGTGAAGAGAATATATTAGTGAGCACTAGCTAGGTATAAGAAGGCATTAGGACTAGATTATATATTAACGCTAATCACAGTTAATAATCTCAAGAATCTATATACTAATTAAGGCAAGCTAGAGGAGGTAGAGAAGATATACTACTAAGCACTAGCTAGGTATGAGAAGGTATTAAGACTAGATCACATATTAACACTAACCACAGTTAACAATCTCAAGAATTTATATCGTGACCAAGGCAAGCTAGAGAAGGTAGAGAAGATATATTAACAAGCTCTTTAAGGCTTTCAAAATGCACTAGGAGTAAACTACCCATTAACCATGATAGTTATAACTAACTTATAGACATTATAATCTTAGTTTAGTAGTGATATAATATTAAAGAGTACTTAGAATGCAGTGATATTAAGCAGGAATACCCACAAAAAATGGTGAAGATTCAGAAAGCGAAACTACATGGTTATTACACGGTATTATATTTAGCGAAGTTATGACATAAAATCTATCATAAAATCTGTCATAATAACAGAGTTAATCTCAAAATAAATTACGTGGTGTAAATGAGTTATATACACTTCATAATTATTGGTTAGTACAGATACAGAGCCAGAATAATTTTATCGAATAATGACGCTGCTGACGCTTCACTGGCAGACGATAATTATAATTATATATCTCAGACCTAGAAAGCAGTTTTGCATGTCACTGTAACCTAGCAAACGTACTTCAGTAGCAGAGAAAGTATAAGGAGGCAGAGTAGATGCGTCGAGAGAAGTTAGACCTAACGATGATGGTGCTCAAGCAGAAGCACCTAGCTATAAGACACTAGCCATAGAAAGGAGCCGGAAATTTTCGTACTATGTTGCCGCTTTTGAATTACTCAATATAGTATTCTGACCTGGAGGTGAAATGGTCATTGATTCAGTGTCTTTACAAGCGAGCGCCCATACTATACCGTGGTTTTGAGTCGAAATATACTCAGTTATGATTTGCTGTGCGGAGATAACGCTAGACTAGATTTTGAGTAATAGGATTTACTAGCGTGGAGGAAAAACAATCACACTGTGTCCGCAAAGCTGACCAGTTTCGGGAAGCACTGTACCTGACTCAGGACATGCTTTACAAACATTCACGGTATTATCAGGAATGCAACTCCTCGATATTTAGTGGTGATCGTCGTAGGGCCTCGCCCGAGAGGGTGATAAAGTATATCATCATCATCCCCCACGGCTAAGTATTTACTGTGGTTCTTAAAATAGGCCTTACATATTATTGGTCGCCCATTGTTTTTCATCAGATAGAACCTATCCCGAGGTTACTTGGTTGGACCTAGACATGTCATGATCGTGCCGCCACCGTATTCTGAGGGAAGTTTTTGCTCTATAGCTATGTATAGGGTAACGTATAAGATGGCCGATGTCTGCCTCAAGTTTATAGGAGCGGCGGTTAGGAATGCCATAGTTAATAATGTGTCAGAAGACGCTTCCCCAGACGCCAGACGCACCACCCTCTGACGAGCTGGACGTCTTCACTTTTGTTTTCAGCAGCCAGAAAAGAAAATTCTTCACAAGGAGGGGTTTCGATCATATGTTCAAGGACTATACTGTACCTGCGTGCGTACAGTACAGCTCTTAAGGACTCTAATGCAAAGACTTTCCTAGTCGGCACTGATCTGTCAACGGTATACTCTAAACCCGACAAGATATCTGGAGCCTACCTCAGACTCTTCACGCATGACATAAGTGGCGATCTTAGGTACAAATGCAGTGCTTTCTTTATTCCCTCCAACCACATCAGCGTCACGGTTATGAGATTTCCTCCATTCAGGCCTAGTCATCAACGTGCACAGGATCTTAGTGAAGGATGAGTCAAGCATTCTCTGGCATTAAAGGCTCTTTCTTGGAGACAATCATACTCTTCGCACATTATGTCTCTCTTATTACAGTCCAAACCAGCTGCCCCTGCAAATAATGAGGGATTGAATGCAAGGTGCAGCTCAGGAACACTCAGGAACACGGACGAGAAAAGCTTCGTGGGCCTTCAGACCCCTTATTCTTTTGTCTCATGGATCTCAGACTCGAAGGAGAAGGTTTAAGCTGCGCCGTGCGCACTCGACAGGCCTCGTTAAAGTAAAAAGGACGAGCCAAACGACAAATCCAGAAGCGGCTTACTCTTTCGATGGACGAGGAACTCAGACAATTGATCTGTGCGAAACTCAGCCTAGAGCAGACTCCTTTCGCACCTCAGGGTTGCATAGCCCTTTCCTACCTCGGATATCATACTTCCGGAGAAAATATCTCCTTGCCTCTCGAGAGCGTGTAGCCACAAAGTCAGAAGCCTTGGAGTGGGTTCGTGTCGTGATCGCTTTTTGCTCCTGTCGAGGGAATGCGCGATGTACACATGATCCATGTAGGTTAGGAAATACCGGTCAATTGCTTCAAAGTCCAGCAAGGGTCTACCATGGGGGATCACACCACCTGGATGGTCTCGCGCAGCATGAGCATTGTTGAACTCGACAGTGTTGATGACTGAAGCTGTCCGATGCGCTAGACGCTGCGTGGTGAAGATGATGTTTCGTCATCCAGGTGCCGGCCCGAATTAGCAGCTGGGCGGCTTGGAGCAGCCTCATGTCCGCCAATCTTGTCTTGTCTTCTATTCGCCTTCACCCAGGTCGTTGCCCGGGAAGGGATCAGCCTTTGATGAAGGGTCAATTGAGAACGTCTCGTCAGAAGGTCACTGTAGTATGGATTCCAGGCAAGGTTGGTTCGAAATTTTCCCTCTCTGGTTCTCTGCTTGGCCAGCAGGACTTGTCGGTAGCGCTTGTGGTCGTGTTGTGGAGTGCACATCAGAGTTCTCTTCTCTGCGATGGGCCCATAATGTATCATCTTGAAAATTGGCGACAAAGGTTGACCCATCATTCTGTCGTGAGGCAATTTCCTGGTGTCCATCTATTGTTGGCGCCGTGTCGATGTCATATTGCTGCCTCTGCTGCAACGCTTTCGATAACGCATCAATCTTCTCGTCCTGCGTCTTCGACTTTTGAATAAGCATTTCAATACTCCTGTTTATCGTCTCCAATCTACCAGTGATGTCAATTATTTGCTTCTCCGACTTCTTCAACGGTAACTCTCTATATGTACATGTCAAGCCGTTGACCTTGCAATGATGACATTGCGGTCTGCTCTCGTCGCATTTTGTTTTTCGTTGTCGACAGGAATCGCATGCTTCTGCCGCTCGCACAGCCTTCCGTCTTCGCTGAAGATCGGGATTGTGATATGAAGACTGTACATGATACCCCGCGGGTGGTGATGTTTCTGCAAGGTGTGGCCCATAAGGTCTAGGAGGTCCAGGATGTTGCCCGGCCATTCTGTCGTGGCCTGTCACCACATGAAATGGGTGATGGATTCCGTTTGGCTGGCTGTCGGGACTAGTGTGGCAAGGATGCGACCCATAGTCTGGAGCATCGTGGATACTCACGAGATGATGGGGAGGACGTCGGAGCTCAGCGGGAGATCTTGGACGACCCGCCACACTCCCTGGCCACCTGTATCCTGGCCACCTGTATCCTGGCCACCTGTATCCTGGATCAGCGGGATAACCTGGAGCCTCTCTTCCTACCGCCGCTGGCGGTGGAGGATATAATTGACCTGGAGGTAGGTATGGATGCTGACGTGTAAGATCTAGTGGCCGCTGTCGATATTCAGAGCGACCGCTGTATGGTGGCTGTGGCGAATTCCAGGTCGGGACTGGTGGTAGAAAAGCTGCGGCTGTTTGTTGATAATGGTTGTGTAAGGTGAGGTTCTCGGATGGTGGCATATGGTGGATGGGGTATGGTGGATGCTGTGGTGGCAGCTCTGGTGGTGGTGGTGGTGGTGTTGCGTATGGACTGAGTGGTTCCTGCTTTACATTCGTAGGAGTTGACATTCTTCCTGGCCTTGGACCCGGCGAGGGAGTTCCAGAACTAAAACCTACCCTAGGACGGACAGTTGTTGTGCACTGTGGCCGATGGGTCGACTGTGCGACATGGAGACTTGGTCTCCAGCTGGATAGCTTCTCTGTGACTGGCGTGCTTCTCTTGTCCAAATCTCTTCCGCAACACCGACTTCCAATCTTCCGTAGTCCTTGTGCAGTCTTACGTGGTTCAGCGTACGAGACACTGAGTTCGCCACGTTGCGTGCGATGGCTACTCAACAGGTATACTAGCTCTTGTTCAGATGCTTTTTTAGTCTATTTTCTTTCTGAAGGCCATATGAGCTGTGTTGCGACAGCCTTTGCATACTATGATGAAGTCGAATACCGGAGAGGTGATCAGGCAAAGGTAAAAAGGATCGAAGGAACCGACCGTCTGCCAAAATGGTAGGCTGCAGAGGATAGCAGTCGTGACCGCTGATGAAGAGCTGCACGAGTCCACAGAGGCGCTGACGACCCAACATTTCCGAGTGAGTTCACTTGAGGCGCCGGCCAGTGCAGGATTCCTTTCGTCCCGTCGTGGACGACTGGAACCTGACCGGGTGTTTTTAGCTGCGATAAAAGAGTCAAATGTAGCTGCTGAGGTTGAATGATTGATTGATTACTCACGGGTGGGCTAAGCCCAGTCTAGACTAGCCAATTCTACATAGCCTGCAACGCGAATGTCCTAGTTCATGCTACTTCCTGCTGTTGGTCCTTCGGCGACATAAAACATGACGAGTATCGCGGAGGACACAGTTCGAAAACATTTTCCGTTGTTGGCTAATGGTTCATGTGAAATGGTCGCGAAGACTGAGACGTCATTATGGATGCATTCACGAAAGAAGAGGTCGCCGCCGGATATGTTTATGGCAGAAACTACGTTCTCCTTGACATACAGGGTAGAATATGGTCGACCCCCAAACATTCGCAATGTTGCTTCCTTGTCCATCCTCCTGGCACCCTTTTGCAGATACCTGTTACCCCGAGGTTAGACGCGGCGTTTATGGGCATATTACAACGCTATGGTTACGCGCTATCAGCTTGTCATTTTGTTCATACACGACATTTCATATCTCAGGGTCGTCCTATCTTGAACCTGATCTTGTTCAGAAATGCCCGTTGAAGACGCCAGAAACTCTGGATCTGGTGTCCATTATCGGCAGACTGATCATTGGAGCGAATCGAGCCGTTGTATCGAGACCAGGTGTTGGTGTAAAGCAAGTACTTGGTGCTGCATTCCACAGCGTCGAAGATATCATGCTGGAAGGCCTCGGGGATTGGACCCCAGTACCACACTCGGCTAGAGATGTTTGTGGTGTCGCTTTCACCTCCAAAAGAGGTCCCTGACACATCAGACGCAAAGGGAAGAACTGAGTGTCCGGACGGTGCAAGCTGAGATTCGCTCGTCTCTACGTCTGCGTAGAGAAGCTGCACCGCATGTTGAAAGATCTGCTTTAGGTTGTGATACTCTCTGCTCGCTAGGTTCAGGGGGGTAGGTGCGTGCTCCCAGCTGATGAAAAGCACGTACATTGAGAGTGCGTGGTTGAATTGCTGACGGACCAGACGTCTCTCAGCTTCTCGTCTCTCAGCTTCTGACTCTCGCACGGGCGATTGCGGTGCCTTCTGCGGCGTCGCCAAGGTCCACGCTGACTTCCACTTCATGACACTGACAAGAAACGCGACGTTCTCTCCAGAGAAGTCGCGCAACGCGGCAAAGGCCTGTAAAGAGCCAGGATTGGATTTCAAAGTCTCCTCCAAAGCGGCCATGTTTGAAGTCTTTGGATCTCTTACAGCGCACGAGGTGGATGATGAAGCCTGCTTCCCCGAAGCCTTCTCGAATGCAGAATCGGAAGATTCTGTAAATGCCGCAGATCTGGAATTAGTAACACTTGCATGGCTGAATTTCCGCATCAGGTCCCAATGCTCGATGGATTTGAGAAGCTCATCGTCAATGGTCGGCTGCCTGATGACCTGCGAACATGGGACAAAGATGGTGAAAATTTCGATCATCATGATGCAAACAGCGATCCTGTCTGGTGTCAGTATTTCAGGCCGAGCGACGAAGACTGTCAAACGGCCTAGCGCGTACCATTGTGGGGGGATCCAATAGTTATTGATTGGCGCCATGGCAGGGACGTAGAGTGCAATCAACCACATCGGTGAAGCCGGCAGACTACGAAACTTGTCAACAACAGAAGACCGCGGCAAAACCTATCTTCCCGGAATGACTTACCCAGCGAGACAGCAACCGATCGTTTGCAGCCGCCAACCGTGAGTGTCTTTGATGTGGCGGGATCTCCATAGGTTGTAGAGCGAGTAACCCCAACTCCAGACAATTTGCCAGGCAATGGATGGCCACCTACGAGAATCTCAGTATGGTACAACGAAGGAGAAAGCATATAATGACAACAATGCAGGCCACTGACCATTCCCACCCTCTCCCTTTCTGCATCAGTTGTTCTTTTTCTGTTCCATGGGTCTCAGTCCCGGGGATACCGAAGCTGGGGTGGTACTTTCTGGAGATGAGGAACATGGTAACTGTGAGAGTCAATTGTACAACCATGCCGCACGTAATCCAAAATGCTAACTTTCGAGCTGGATCCGCGCTTCGAAGCCGACAAGCCAGCCACCTTGGGCCCTTGTGCCTTCTCACTGGTGCGGACGTCATGCGCTGGCGATCCATTGCCTCGGCCAGACCAAAGGACGTGGCATACTGCTCTTGAACTTGTGCCACCTGCAGAAACCTGCTGTTCGAGGCATGGAACAGAGCATACCCAAGAGGAAGATAGATGCCCATGATCCAGAACTCTGCTTCGCCGGGGAATATGGGTCCATATATGTATCCCAGGTTGACGGAGCACCAGTACAAGTGGAGCGCAATGACTGCAGTAAACGGCACCCATATCCCTCGCACCTTGGCCGAGGGAGCATGTCGTTTGTAGAACAAGAAGCCCATGCCCGAGAAGAGGAAAAGCGTCCACCCAATGACGAACCCAATCCACCAAAAGCCTACTGGGCCAAGTCGAGCCTTCAGTTCGGTCTCATGGGAGATGCCGAACTCGTTGTTTTCGCTGACCATGGTGAGTTTTGTCACATGACATTAGATGTCATGGCTCAAATGCAAGAATTTGACCGTTGGGCGCTAGCCTCCAGGTTCAAGTGTTTTTGAATCGCCAACGGCAGGGCTTTTGGAAAAGGAGGAAAGTTCTGCCCGGATGGTTCTGTTTCTTAATAGTACGCAGTACCGGTTTATGACCCCCTAACATATCCCTTTGGCACAAGTCATTGAGCTCTTTAGCAACCCGACCCATTCAGATTGTACGTAAGTTGACAAGGCACTATAGGGTGGTTAGTATGTTGGTCAGTGGGACCTCACAAGCCAGGGACCAGGGTGATGGTTATTATTGGCTCCCCTAGCCATAAGATCGTCAAGTCTATAATTTTTTGCGGGAGATCTTTTCTTGGAAATGGACACACCCTTCGGCCGGTGTGAGCTGGACCCTTTTGTAGCGCGCGCTGTTGTTGATGTGAACTTTGGGCAGGCATCGACCTACGATTCGATCTCGCTCGCCTTGGCCTGTTCCTCGCTAATGTCAATGCCAATACGGAGAAGAGAGCGGCCAATCTTCAAGCCACCTACAGTACATGTATCAAAAGCAAGTCAATCACAATAAAATTTGACCAATCAAGATCAATCAGACCCGGGAGATCGACGGTCTCCCCGGATTGTCTCGGGGAAAATGTACACTATATGTACTGTCGGAGTTTAGTTTCCCCGGTCCGCCATTGATTGGCGTCTGCATCTCTTGGCTCCGGCTTCGTCCGCATCTCCGACGAGAAGTGACCACGAACTCGACCTATCTGCTAGTTGGGAATGATTCCAGCATATATGTCCGGACCCGTTGACCAGCTTTGCAGTTGCAGTCTATGTACTGTATACTTGGCTCATGGTATGTATCATTGCAAACCCATGGACGGAGTAAGATCAGTTCATTCGCATTCCCTGTTTCATCGAGTGCAAAATGCGCTTCTCCAAGTCAATAACTACTTGCCTGGTCTAGTCTAGATGTCGTGGTTCCCTTACCCCATACTAATCATGAGTTGACTAGTCTCTGCCTCTGCGCCGTTCTTGATCTAGACACATACACTTGACTGATACACACTCCAATCTCGCATACTATATACACACACACTCTCTCCTCTCTCCCTCCCTCTCCCCCTACAGAACTCAAGCGCATCAACAACACCAAATGATTCTGGTTTCTACCAATGTCATCAGGAGATGACTCTTCATGAGCCCAGGCGGATTACTCGCGCCTCCCTCTGCCTCCGCTTCGTAGGGTTCTATGAGACGCCACCCTCTTCACCTCAGTCGAATCCTCTGTCTCTGTCTCCTTTCACCCTCCAAACAAGACCGATACCTCGCCGCGCGCCTAGACGTCAAACAGACGGCCAGGAGTGGTACCTAGGTAGTTGAGCGCCCGCCAATCAACGCCATCGATCTCAGACCTCTGCGATTTGGTATTATGGTTTTTCTGAATATATCAAGGCCAATCAACCCAATACTGGTCACTGGATATGTGATCATTGTGATGGTCGCATCTCCTTTCGCACGGATCAAATACCTTGCAATGTTTCGAGGCATCTATCCGGACGTCATCATAAAACCGTCAAAAGATTTCGCAGGGAGACAATTGCAGAGCACGACGACGAGGAGGAGGAGGAGAAAGAGGAGGAGGATCTGGAATCTCCTTCCCCGGAGCCTTCGGTGACACAGATCCCAGATCAATCTTACCTTCGATATATGGACATCCCCTGCGGCGCAGTTGATCCTCGGCAAATGTGTGCATTTCTTTGGACCCGACTTGCGCTTGAAACAAGCTTTCGTTGCCATGAGAGAATTAGGTGGCTCTCATTCTGGCGTCGACGAGGTCCTACTTGCAAGTTTCACAATATTGTTAGATATACTCGCG